TGATAATATTGAGGATAGTGGGGTTGAGTTAAAGTTCAGTTAAAAAAAAAAACAGTGTGATTAAAAATATTTGTATTTCTGTAAGAAATCTTGTATCCAAGCATGCACTAAGTGATTTAGGGACGATTGACTACATATTCGTTTTGACTGATCGAATATTTTTTTACACATTTAACTCAAAATTCACTCAAATTTAACTCACTAATCATTATTATTATTAATTTGATTAAATAATATCAATCAGTTATCCTTACGCATAACATAAACTTTAATTCACTATTCATCTACTCACATAATTTTAACTATTTAGGGTGTGATTGGATATAAAATGTACGGTTAAAAAACCAATCAAAACTTAAATTTAATTCAATTTTAACCCAACATCACTATATTCCCTATTATGAATATAATTATATAATATCAACCAATCATTCTTACACATCATATTAACTTTAATTCACTATTCGTTTACTCACATAATTTTAATTAATCATCATTTACAATCATTTTTCTTTTACTTTTACATCAAATCAAATTTATTTATTTTATTTGAAATATTATTTTAATATATCCACTAACAACTAATCATACCATATTTTTTAAAATTAACTATGATTAAAGAAAAACCAATCACAGTCCTATCGTTTCCAGTAACCTCTATCACATTTTTACATCCTATCAACTTTAATCATTAAATTTTAAATGTTATTTAAATTTGTATACAAATCGAAGATAGAGCGTGAGACAGTAGGTTGTTTCTTGGTTCGCCAAGAAACAGGAGACTGACCCAACTGAATAAACCAACCAGAAAGAGAGCGCCGAGTGAGAGGGCAAGACGCCCAATCTGAATCACACCATGCATAGAGTTGAAGATCGCATTCAGTACGAAGATGAATCCCCTGGCCAGGAGAGCCTTTCAAATATCGAACCACACGCAGAGCAGAGTCCCAGTGAGCCTGACGCGGTTGATGCATGAATTGAGAGAGCATATGAACCGAGTAGGATAACTCAGGTCGAGTCACGACGAGATAGATAAGACGTCCGACTAAACGACGATATCGCTCAGGATCAGACAATAGATCATCCTTAGCAAGAGGGAGCTGATGATTCTGCTCTAATGGAAAATCAGCTGGCTTGCTCCCTAGTAGTCCGACCTCAGCAATGATGTCAAGAGCATACTTCCGCTGACAGAGAAAGAAGCCAGAAGAATTTCGGGCAACCTCGATACCCAGAAAATACTTAAGCAACCCAAGATCCTTCATGTGAAAACAACGACTCAAGTAACTCTTGAAGGCCGCAATGGATGTGGTATCATTCCCAGAAACGATTAGATCATCAAATAGACTAGGACCTGCAGATGGACAGAACCACGATGCAGTGTAAAAAGAGAGTAGTCATGATAGGACTGACAAAAACCATACAGCTTCAAAGCCGTAGACAACTTGGCAAACCAGCAGCGGGGAGCCTGCTTCAAGCCATAAAGGGAACGACGAAGACGGCAAACCTGCCCCTCAACGCCAGAGCGAAAACCAGGTGGAAACTTCATGTAAACCTCCTCAGCCAAATCACCATGAAGAAAAGCATTGTGAACATCCATTTGGTGAACTTCCCAATGCCTAGCAGCAGCCACAGCCAAGAATAACCTGACAGTAACCATCTTGGCGACGGGAGCAAACGTCTCATGATAGTCGAGACCTTCCACTTGATTATTGCCCAAAATCACCAAACGCGCTTTATAGCGCTCAATGGAACCGTCGGACTTATGTTTGATCTTAAAAACCCACTTGCACCAAATCGCACGCTTTCCAGATGGAAGAGAAACTACATCCCACGTGCCATTATTCTCTAAGGCACGAATCTCATCCTGCATAGCGGCTCGCCATCGAGGATCCGTCAAGGCATCAGCAAAAGTGCGAGGCTCAGTAGTGGAGGCGACAGCAGCCAAAAAGGCTCGATGAGCTGGAGAGAATGAATCACAAGAAACATAATGCTCGATGGGATAAGGCGTGCCGGAGGATGAAGACGACTGGAGAGAAGCAGTGGGGGGTACAACCGCAGGCCGAACAGTGTCAACCACAAAATCCTTCAACCGAGTTGAAGGAACCTTAGTCCGATGACCACGACCTAAGGGCTCGACTGGAAGAGTGGGAGGGGTAATGGTAACGGAACCCTCCCTATCGTCAGAAGTATCCATATCAGTAGCAGAAGGCCCAGTATCAGAAGAAACATGAGGCAAAGAGACGACCGGAAGATCCTCATCATCATCTGGCACAGAAGAAACCGACACAACAAGAGGCGGTGGTAAAGAATCTGGCTCAGACGAGTCTGACTGGTATGGGAATTCAGCCTCAAGAAACTCTACATCACGAGAGACAAAAAAAAAATCTGACGATCCAAATCATACAAACTCCATCCCTTTTTACCAAAAGGATAACCAACAAATAGACAACGACGACTCCGAGCAGCAAACTTGTCACCATTACGATC